CTGTCAGAGATTGATTATTTTTATTTTTTATATATATATATATATATATATATATATATATATATATATATAATAAGCAGATTTTAAATCTTTTCCTTTGTTTTCTTTAAGTTTTCTGTGTGAATGTGAAGTTTGCATTAAAAACTGGAACTGGCCACATACCTTTAGCATTAATTTTTGCAGCATTTCATGTGCTTTTCATAAATACATTTTATTGTTTTACCATTGTTCCAGACCCAGACTTTCAGTCTTGAAATATAAAAATCACCCTAAAATATTAATTATTACGTTTAAAATCTATTATGCCCTAAACAATGAGCAAAATATATACATTAAAAAATGAATGTGGTTTATATTCATTTCTACACCAATAATAACTGTCCCTCAGATGTGGTGTGATTTCCATTATGATCAACAATTGTGTCCCTATTCCCTAATAAAGTTTTTTTTTTTTTAAGTTATTATAAATTTTTCATAAACATCATAAAGTATGCAAAGAAAGTTTGAAATAGGATTGTATTTGCAAAATGCATATGTGTATGTGTGAATGTGTATATATATATATATATATATATATATATAAAATTGTAATTGTAAAATTGTAATTGGGATGCATAAAAATACTATTAGCAAGACAAAGGAGTCAGCCATTGTAATTCAACAATGTTTAAAATGTAATTTCCATCACTTCATTTTCATCATGGCAGATGATGCTGTTGTTGAAATGTTTATGACTTTTAGAAAAAATGACAGAATTCCCCTGTTATGTATGAAAATACACACATAACATTGTCAGCAGACAATTTTAATGAACTACTGAGAGTGTGGAAAATGTTTAAAAGTTTAGTTTCTTCATCCACATAGCCAAAAGTGCTCCAAGGTGAAGAAACAGCCATCCAGCTATTTTGAGTAAAGTGGAAAAACACTCCAAATCAGATAGCATTGCTGTGTGTCCGTCTTCCTCTCTTCCTCTCTCTTCAGCCTCCATGCAAGAGCAGCTGCAGCGGATCAATACTTCAATCTGAGTGTTGTAATCCCACTTCTGTTCAGTGCAGCATGTCAAAACTAACACTCTCCTCCTCTGTTTCTCCTGTGCGCTTACTTAAAATAGATGAAAAAAACAAATGACATGAGAAATGATATGTATGTATGGAGAAAGAGAGAGACTTTGTGAACTTTATTGGGTTATATGTGTGTATGAAAAGTTTCAACAGACATTTAAATGTTGTTGAACAAAAATTGCGGAGTCTGTTTCTTCCCCTTCCCCTCTCTTCTCTCTCTGGTGGGTGTGGGGTTGAGTTTGGGGGATTGCTGTTGCTTTGGGAACAACCTGTAGAAGCCTCTGTTGCTAGGAGATTTTATGCTTTCAGCAAGAAAATCTGTCTCCCCCTTCAACTGAACCCCCACACAGCGCGCACACACACACACACACACAAAGCTCACTCAGTATTGGACTTTGCCAGCTGATTAATTCTGAAAATAAGATGTTAATAGCAAAACAAATCTTAAATGAGTGGATGATGCTTTTCATGGCTTCATGTATCTCTTCCACTATACACTTGACATGCTATTACTGGATCTGCACAATATGGAACATATAATAGGCTACATTAAATAAACAAAGGGAAGCATTAAAGTATTGGTAAAGTATTTAAACACTCTCTTTGCACCATAAGTGAGAACTTAATGATATTAAAAAATTTTTAAAAATATGTTACAATGTTATATATATATATATTTAAAATGTGTGTGTGTGTGTGTATTAGTGCTGTCAAGCGATTAATCGCATTCAAAATACATTTTTATTTACATAATATATGACAGTGTCTCCCATAGCTAACTTAAACTCTTTATCACCTGCCAATATGACCTTTCATAGACTTTTATGGTGTTTGTACACACTTCTTTGAAGTATTTAAACATAGTGAAATTTTACATTTTTTTGTGAAGAAATTATTGTCTTTTAAAGAAATGATATGATAAGTAGGGATGCAAATAAGATGATTATTCTCTTTGTGTTACAGCTGATAACTGATAAACGGTAGATGTTAAAGTTTTATACTATTTTTGTCTTAAGTGAAGTAAAAAAACACTAACAACTAAAATCACTGTTTTGGATTTAGGCATTACAACAGTATAATCTACAGTATAAATAAGTGGAAATTAATTTTGAGATTTGGGTAAAGATTGCATTTAATAGTGTTATTAATTTTATTAGTCTTTAATGATTAACTTTAAGTGAGCATTAGATGATGGCAAAGGTAGTCTAAATGTAAAAGCTGGAAATAAGCATGCACAATTAAATACAGCATATCAACTGATACTGATAAAAAAGTATGTAATATCTAACAATATCAGATCTTGTACCATATTGTGCATGTGGAATGATGATATTTAATGATATCTGAAGAACGTCGCTACCTGTTAAAGTCCAGATATTACACATTTACAGAATAGAAGAAACATTGTGTTATATGTGGTGTATTTTAGTTTGTATTGATCTATTTTAAGATTTTTGTATGTGATTTTTTTTTTTTTAGTTCTACAAACGTCATGGAATGGCAGAAGTTGAGCTGATAATAGACCAGTACTTGCGTTATAACCGAGATGATTGACGCTCAAGCAAAGTTGAAATAATTTACATGTTTCTGGTGACTCGCGTTAAGCTGTGTGACGTTAGTTAAGACGATTGTGACTATATTCTGCTTACTAGTTGAGGTTTTTTTGTCACTCATCGGTTCATTTTTCTTGCACAATCCTTCGGTGGCAAATGCTTTCTATATCTCTCTCCCACGAAATAAGCACCACACCTACAATCTGACTTATGCACAGACAACCCTGCACTACTTCTCTCTTGTTCCTTTCCTGTTTTTTTTTGTTTTGTTGAGCATGTAAGTCGAGCATAATAAAGTTGTAGGTGGCATTCAAGCAGACAGCAGTGGTTAAGTATGCAGTTGGTCCTGCTCTCTGTTGTAGCTCTGAACTGGAGCATAGCAACTGTGCCCCGTCGAGTCATAAACATGAATATAGAGCCAAACTTATACCCCTGTTGGTTAAAAACACGTTTAACTTTATCTGGTAACTTTATCATGCTGTTATATACAGTATATCACTTAGTAGAGTAAAATCACTTTTGTATTGTGCACATCAGGGTTATAAATAACTAAAACTAAAACCATTACAAAAACATTTTTAATCAAAAATAAATGTTAACTGAAAATCTAAAAGAAAAAATAAAATGAATTAATAAAAACTGAAATAGTTTCTCATTGATGCTAAAACAGCACTGCTGCACATTTTGTAATATTTGAGGTATGACTGAAAACTTACCGGTTTGACTCAATATTGCTCAGATTGTGAACAGTGTGGAAACTGACATAAAATAAATTCAAAAAACATTTAAGCCATCTTTTTCAATTATTGTGTTTATATTTTTGTGTGTGTGTGTACAGAACCGCTGTATTGTTTAGTTTGACTAAACATTGTGTGACTGTATTCATGGTTCATGAGAAATGATATGTATGTATGGAGAAAGAGAGAGACTTTGTGAACTTTATTGGGTTATATGTGTGTATGAAAAGTTTCAACAGACATTTAAATGTTGTTGAACAAAAATTGCGGAGTCTGTTTCTTCCCCTTCCCCTCTCTTCTCTCTCTGGTGGGTGTGGGGTTGAGTTTGGGGGATTGCTGTTGCTTTGGGAACAACCTGTAGAAGCCTCTGTTGCTAGGAGATTTTATGCTTTCAGCAAGAAAATCTGTCTCCCCCTTCAACTGAACCCCCACACAGCGCACACACACACACACACACAAAGCTCACTCAGTATTGGAGTTTGCCAGCTGATTAATTCTGAAAATAAGATGTTAATAGCAAAACAAATCTTAAATGAGTGGATGATGCTTTTCATGGCTTCATGTATCTCTTCCACTATACACTTGACATGCTATTACTGGATCTGCACAATATGGAACATATAATAGGCTACATTAAATAAACAAAGGGAAGCATTAAAGTATTGGTAAAGTATTTAAACACTCTCTTTGCACCATAAGTGAGAACTTAATGATTTTAAAAATGTTTTCAAAATATTTTTCAATGTTATATATATATATATTTAAAATGTGTGTGTGTGTGTGTGTATTAGTGCTGTCAAGCGATTAATCGCATTCAAAATACATTTTTATTTACATAATATATGACAGTGTAGTGTGTTTATTTATTATGTATATATAAATACGCACACATACATTATATATTTTGAAAATATTTACACGTATATACATTTATATATTTATATTATTATATTTTATATTATAGATAAATATATTTAATATATAAACATAGCATATTTTCTTAAATATAAACATGCATGTGTTTGTATTTAGATATACATAATAAATAAACACAGTACACACTCATATATTATGTGAACAAAAACTTTTATTTTGGATACGATTAATCATTTGACAGCATTAGTGTGTGTGTGTGTGTGTGTATATATATATATATATAATACAAATATCATACATTTCCAACATGTTTTCTTAAGGTTACTTCATTACATGAACAAAATGTGAGAAGGTTGTGAGAAGGTCGAAATGTCTTGTATTAATGACTTTTATTGACAGGTTAGAAGAGACATTTCTGTCTCTGTTTTTCAACAAAATGGCTTCCTGTACGTAGAACAAGCCACACTAACCTTGATTAATGTTTTTAAATGTTTTTGAAAATTGCTTCATTAAAATCATAACTACTTGGGTCCATATTATTATGATGCCTTTTTCTTTTTCATCTCCGGAAATTTACACCACATACACACTTTTTAAGTACGCCTACAGAAAATATCATTGTAATTTTAATGCACATGTTCATGATGACAAAATAGCCTATATTTCTAACTAATTCTGTATGCATTGCATTTTTTACTTAATTGTTAAGTTTGACCAAAAAAAGGACGGGAAGTCATTTCCACCCTTTTCAAAAGATGTTCTGCTTTTGAAAAGTGTTATTGACTTCCTTCTCTTTGCACAGCTTCCTGCAATAGCATTTATGGGTCCGGCGGACTATATTTGTCGTCGGTCATATGCGTGAGTGTTTATAACTCCCATCCCCCTTTCAAAACTCTTCCTTGGCATCTCCCCCCAGTCTTCCCCTCCCCTCCACCCCCGATTAGCCGGTCCTGACTGCACCATAATCATCAAACATAATGCAGAAAACAAAGACATGGACCTTAAAGAAAAAAAATGTGACAGAAAGGGGCGACACACATTTCACACAATAATCTGAGGCACTTCAACAAGGCCAGAAGTCCAGCTGCCTTGGGATTCCAGTTCGGCCATGTGTCCACACACCCTCATCCTTTTTTACATATCAAGTTAATGTTCACACATCTACTACCGACATCAGTGGCCCTCCAGACCCGAAACAGGAAGATATAATAACAGTTTCCTGATCAGATGTGAGTGAGAGGTGCTGTACCGGTGAGGTAATGCTGTTGGATGTTGGAATAGCCCCTCTGTGCTCCACTGTCTGTGCTGTCTCCACCAGGGATATACATGCTAATCATGTCCCTCAGGTCTCCTTGTAAAGGACCCCGCTGGTGGCTGTGGGCTCCGGTGGGAGAGTGAGACACCTGGTCTGGTTTCACCATGGACATGACCGGGCTGGGCTGCTGGGAAGTGCTGCTGTAGGACATGGGGCTGGAGAAAACAAAAGAAAACTTTTAAAGTCTGTGCAAAACTAAGCGTGCATGTCGTTTAGTGCACATGCAAATATCTAACTGTAAGAAGAATTATAAACTTACTTGTAGGAGTTGGCACCATTCATGTAAGTCTGAGCGGTGGCCATTGTAGAAGGATACTGGAGGGCAGACAGATCGTAGCGGTGCAGCTGCTGACTGTAGCCCAGAGCATCCGTCTGCATGCCAGTGTAGCCACCTGTGTGACCCCAGCCATAGCTGTCCATCCGCGGGCTTCCACCTGATCCCTGAGCAGCGGCTGCCGCCAGTAAGTTGCCGGCTGATAGGGGATACTTAGCAGCCGGGATGTCCTTCTTCAGCACGGGTTTCGTCTTGCGTCGGGGTTTGTATTTGTAATCTGGGTATTCCTTCATGTGCAGTGCGCGGAGCCGCTTGGCCTCGTCAATAAACGGGCGTTTCTCCGCGTCCGTCAGCAGCTTCCACTCTGCGCCCAGGCGCTTGCTGATCTCAGAGTTGTGCATTTTGGGGTTCTCCTGTGCCATTTTGCGCCTCTGGCCCCGAGACCAGACCATGAACGCGTTCATGGGCCTCTTAACTTTGTCCATAGGATCGATACTCTGTTGTTGGTTGTTGACAGCCGGTTTGGCGGCTCCGTACGTCAGTCCACCGTTCAGCTGGGTCATTCCCTGCGCGCTTTGGTGCGTCGGTGGCACGGCGGACTTCATGTCGTGTTCCAGCATGCTGTACATGGCTGACAACAGAGGTTAGTGGTGATACTGAAGTATCACCGTAAACTACTAACTAGCCTAACTTAAAATCAAATCCACTGACTTTCAGTGTCCGCGAAGGTAAATGTTTACGCGTTGCGCTCTGGACACACAAGTCCAAAAGACGAGAGCGAACTGATTGTAACTACAGCCAAAGTGTTTGTAAACGCTTAAAGACTATCAACAAGTTCTGAAGTGACCTTAGTTTGCCTTAAAAGCGAAACAGGTCCGAGCTGAACTCTCTGTGCGTCCTGCCAGCGACTCTTTCAGTGCTTGAGTGATAATAGAATTTCATCACTGTCCGCCTCCAGCTGCTTTCTTTCTCTCCACATTAGCATCACTAAAGAAGGGGTGCGGTGAATGTGGAGAGGCCAAGAGCAGGAGGAGGATTCGGTTTTGGGGAGAAGAGTTTCTGTCTTCACCTGCAACTCTTTAAACGGATTTTACAATGTTTTTACAGTGGCCATAGTTAATTCTCAAAAAATCAAGTGCATGTAGTTTGTTAGTATAAGTTGTTCTTCTGAAAATACACATTTAAGTGTACTACTATGCATTTATCTTTATCCACAGCTGCAATGAACACAAACGTGTGTTACGAATAGCTTATACTCATTCTTTTTCAGTCTCGCTCTCTCTATTTTTTTTGTTTTTAAATTTCTGACCAAAACAAAACCATCTATTTATACTTAGACACTTGTTACCTGATGAAAAGGCAGCTTTTGGACAATAATTTTTATTTGGTTTATTGCAACAACAACAAAAAAAGGATGCCTTTTCTTTATTTTTAATAGGTGATTTTTACAGTTGTTATAAATGTTATAAGACAAAATATCTTTAAATTTTGTGCTGTGCCATATAAAGCTACATTTAATTGTTTTAATATACGTTGGATTATATAGCTTTTGAAAAATACATTTAAAAAAGTAACAGGATTGACTGTTTTGTAGTTGATTTAACCATTACTAGCTTTGTGTTGAAGGTCATGACACTACAGTGTGCTTTAGTAACATTAGTGTCTTATTTAAGATTGTTCCCTACTGACCAACAACACAAAATACAACAAAAAAGTGATTACAAACATGCTGGAGACATTTACATCTATTTAAAGAATTCACATTCTCAAAGGATGATGTTGTTATTATAACATAAAAATAACAAGTTTTTTGTGGAATTCTACATCATTTTAGTAAGTGGAGTTATGACGATAACAGAGTTGATACATAAGGACACATTAATAAAACATTTTAATGAGGAATGTTCACTCTGCTGTATATATGTACAACACGGGTCAAAAGTTTGGAATAATTATATTTTCCTTATGCTTTTTGAAAGAAGTCTCATATGCTCTCCATGGCTGCATTTATTTGATCAAAATACAGTAAAAACAGTAACATTGTGAAATATTACTACAATTTCAAAAAAACATCTAATGTGTAATGTATTCCTGTGATGGAAAAGCTGAACTTTTAAGCATCATTACTCCAGTCTTCAGTGTCACATGATCCTTCGGAAATCATTCTAATATGCTAATTTCATGCTAATTTTGAAAAGAAAGAGAGAGACGTGCACATTTGCCAGCAGCATGCAAAGAAATGCTGGAAATGCAGTGCTGGTGTCCTCATGATTAAAGAAGATGAAAATAAAAGACAAAATATTTTTGTTGATGTATTAAGAAAACATTTAGTGATGATATTTATAATAATACCCATAATAATTATAGAGTTTACTTAAAAGTTTTGTTGCAATTGTGCACTGCCCCTTTAAAAACGTGGAACTAAAAACTTGGAATAAAACCAGTGGATTTAGATGTTATCACATAAAGAACATTTTTCAGGTTCGAAACACTTTTTATTTGTAGAGTCGAAAAACTTTATGGGTGTTTTTTTTTCTTTTTTCCCTCTTAGCTATCTTCCATGATGCAGCTGAATGTCTTCTAGCTAGATCTCTTCTACCCCAGTGAGTCGTCTTCTCTAATGACCGCAGGTGTGAGTAGTTGCTCCTTATCACCCAGCCATCCATACACATTAGTTTCTATGCATCACTTCACACTTCTATTGTGAGCCCTGCATCCCCAAACACAGCCACTACGACTGACCATCAGTAAGATATGTGACAATGAACCCCCCCCCCCCCCCCCTCTGAGTTTAGCTTGTACTAACACATCATCTGAACGTTCCTATAAGGCCTTCAGAAAAGCTGTTATAAAAATGACTTCATTAGGTCATTGTAATATAACTTAGAAAAGTTGCTAGTTTACTATTAATCTGCAGTACACTCTTTATTGGCATCTTGAGTTCCACAAAAAACGTTAACATCCATTCCAATGCAAAGGAAAAGGGAAAACGGCTCTTTAGATTATTAAAATGTTCTTTTAAGAATTGTTCTTTGGGAAACCATAAATGGTTGTTCTGTGGGCATCACTGCGAAACCCTCCTTTATTTTAATGCGTAGATGGCATTACATTTTCATCAGTGAACAAATTCATCCGATCCTCAGCATTCTTAGAATAGGATAAGGAGAACTTGCTGTACTTATTCATCTCTTTTTTGTTTTTTCTTCTATCTAATCATTGACAACATGCATAATAATTGTTTGTGGAAACCCCCTTTTGAATTAAGCATTATTTTTTCATCAGTAAATAAAACTGATCAGATCCTCAGCACTCCAAGAACAGGAGAAGGCGTTTCCGTACCCTATTCTCCTCTCTTTTGTTTTAGTTTCTCCAGTCTAATCATTGACAACACATCTCTTAAAAATAAAAGTTCTTCATTGGCATTGATGGTTCCATGGAGAACCTTTAACATCCATGGAACATAAAGTTGTTTATGGTGAAATAAAGTTTAGTGTAGTAAAGTATAGCTCTTTAGATTTTCTTTACACTAAGAAAAAAGTTATTTTAAGTTGTTTTTGGGGGAACCAAAGTTATTCTTCTATGACATTGATTCTGCTAATGGAGCATCATCATAAAATAGAAGTCTGAATAACAATTTGATGTGCTCTACAAGTGTCGTTGTTGTAACAATTTTAAGGATACTGAAAGAATATAATTGTGCAAAGCTAATTTGTAAGGTGTAAAACGTGGCGATTTTAACCAGCAGTAGCCATGCATGGTCTCAGTGTTAGACAGTGGTTTGTAAAGCCAGAGTCTTCTATTGGATTAGTATGTTTTCTCTGGCTTTGAGACACATTGAGTGACTGAAACCTATGGCCCATTTTACCACACCAATTTCTATTCCATAGAAGAGCAACAAGTGGTATTACCTCAAACCAGAGCAGGAATGTAAAAAAATCCCACGCTTGACACGTGAGCTGCCGTTTTCTTCTGGCTCACGGCCTGATGCTGCAAAACCCCACTGTACGGCGTCAATATTGACTCGAGCCATTGTCGCAGGTCATTGTCACACACTTATTATACAATTAACCTTACTTTATGTGGAGGCTGAATATGGAGTGTGCCGGAGCTATTGTCCATGAGTCATTCTCATGTATGGGATCAGTCTCATTATAAGCAAGAGCAGGAGAATAAAGAGAGGAAACACATTGATGTCTCCTGGTGTTGTGTCGACAATCAAATCAAAATTTAAGTGGGGGCCTCGCGAGAGAGCCGGAGAGTCCAGAGGAAGCCTGAAAGAAGCCAAGCATCATACATGCGAGAGACGCAGAGATCCAGAATGACAGATTGGATGGTCGGAGATAAAAGAGAGAGGAAAAAAATGAAGTAGGGAGGGGGGCTTCGAGCGAAAAGAAAGAGCGATGGACAGAGGGAGGGGAGGAGGACGGTGGTGGAAGAAAAGCATGAGAGACAGCGAGGGGGGAAAAAGGGGGTCGAGAAGAAAGAAGAAAGTAAGAGGGAGAGAGAGCGGAGGAGCAGGGGGGTTGGTTAGTCGCTGGAGAAAGTTCTTAAGCTTTTTCAATGACAAGCAGATTGAAAGCCCTTCTATTCAGCCGCTCTCCGGCTTCTGTTCTCATGTAAATGGAGTCTGCGGCCTTCCCTCCATCCATCACACTGCCCGGTTGTCCAGCCAGGCCTTTACGAGCCTCCCACTTGCAAAATCACCATGCCCCACAAACACTATGGCCACGGAAGGGGGGTGGGGAGGCGGCGAGGCCACCTACGCTGTGCGAGAAACTGCAGCGCAGCCATTGGGGATGGTAAGGTGCTGTGGAAAAGCGATGGGGATGAAGGTGATGAAGAGGAGAGCGATTCAGTTCAAAGTTTACGGCTGATTTGCAAAGCAGTGCAATTCCTAATTACTAGCAAACCCTTCCAATGTGCCATAAGCTATTTTTTAGTTAATTTGCAACAAACATCTTGTATATGCCTTCATGCATATGCATGTGCTACATTGTCTGGTAATAGGCAAAACACTTTTTTTTTTTTTTTACAGATTTGTTATTGAAGTTTATAACAAATTCAGGACCTCTGAATTTCTAATAGTTTTGGATTGAATTTCTATTGATCCTTATAGTTCAGAACCAGCTCTGGTCTATCCGTCTACTGCAGTTTGTTTGTTCTTGCATTCTAAAGGTTCAGATCTGCTGTGTGGAGCCTCCCTCCAGTGTTGAACAATGGCATTACAGTATTGTTTTACAATAAATAACTTTTTTCTACACCTATTCCTTAGGTTAAAAAAAATTAGCAATTTTCAGTGAATTAAAAGTTCACATGCAATAAGAGATTATGGCAGATCCTGCTGGTAAATGTATTAATAAACAAACATTCATGTAGTTCTTTAACCTCAAATCCTTTAAATGTTTTTTAAAGCTGGATAGAATAACTAAAGGTTTAGGGGTTGATTAAAATATGACTGTAAATTAAACATATTTCAATGTAGATTCATTACATTAGCACCCCCAAAAAATGAAAAAAATTATATTTGCGTTATCATGCAACTAATATTTAATCATTAACAACTTGAACCTGCAAAAGGAAAAAAGGCAATCAGTATAACCATACTTCCAAACCATTTAACAAGGAAAAGGAAACATTTTGACGAGTTAGGCTGTAGCTTTATTGAAATTTACCCCCTCTCCAAAAAACAAAATACACTTGCAAAACAACTTAAATGTCAAAAAAAGAGAAAAAAGTTGCAATATGATTTTTTTTCTCTCCATCACTTTTTTTGTACCACCTTCAGTCAAAATTCATCCGTGTAAGGACTTCCAAATATCTCAATTCAGGAAGCCCGCAATACTCAGACATCTTACATCATATACTGTATATGGGTGACTAAATAGATCTG